AGTTTGGTTAATCGCCAATTCCTTTCAAATTTTCGCGATATTTGTTTTAACCTACGGGTTTGAGAGTTATACCAAGGAGCAAACTTTCTTTGCTTTGTTAACTTCTTTTTAAGAGGAGCTACAGAGTCGAGCGTTGTTCGCAGCGAGCCTACGGCGCTATCAACAAAATGATCAATTTGGGAGAGGTTAAAGTCGGCACGGGAAACCTCTGTTACTGAAGGTATTGGTATTGAATTTAACGACGAAGTAATCTTTTCCTTAAATTTTGTGACAGCACTATCTGATAAACATCTAGTATAGTAACTGTTGCTGAGTGGCGTGTAATCGAGTAAAAAGAAATCAAAAGTAATCAGATAATGATCTGATAGCAAGGGATTCTGTGGAAAGACTTTTAGGTTATCAATTTCAATTCCATACGTCAGAACTAGATCGAGGGTATGGTTAAAACAGTGAGTGGGTTCATGTACACCCTGACTGAAGCCAATGGAGTCTATTAATGAGATAAACGCGGTAGCCAGGGAGTCATTATCAACGTCGACATGAATGTTAAAATCGCCTACAATAATAACTTTATCTGATTTAAGAACTAAACTGGATAAAAACTCTGAGAATTCAGATACAAATTCAGAATACGGGCCAGGAGCACGGTACACTATAACAAATAAAAGTGGCTGCGAGGTTTTCCAGGTCGGATGTAAAACACTAAGAACGAGGCTTTCAAATGAATTATAATCTAGTTTAGGTTTAGGGCTGATTAACAGACTAGAGTTAAAAATGGCTGCAACTCCCCCTCCTCGGCCGCTGCCTCGAGGAATGTGGGTATTATTATGACTGGGAGGAGTGGACTCATTTAGACTAACATATTCATCTTGACACAGCCAGGTTTCAGTGAGACTGAGTAAATCAATATGATTATCTGATATTAATTCGTTTACTAACACTGCTTTAGACGATAGAGACCTGATATTTAACAGTCCGCATTTAATTCTCCTGTTTTGTCTTTCTGTCACAGAAGAGGTTTTAATTTTTATGAGGTTGTTATGCACAACTCCTCTTTGTTTAATTTTAGATTTAAATAATTTAGGTGGTCGGGGGACAGACACCGTTTGTATAAAACTATGAAAACTATGGCTGGGTAACTGAACTAGAAGCTCAGAGAGGCGTTTAGGACTGCAACTCTCTGTCCTGGTCTCAACTCTGGGTTGTCAGGGATTTAAATTACTAATAAAATTTGCCAGGTTCCTAGAAATGAGAGCAGCTCCATCCAAAGTGGGGTGAATGCCGTCTCTCCTAATAAGACCAGGTTTTCCCCAGAAAGTTTGCCAATTATTAACAAAACCCACATCGTTTGCTGGACACCACCTGGACAGCCAGCGGTTAAATGATGACATGCGGCTAAACATGTCATCACTGGTCAGATTTGGGAGGGGTCCAGAGAAAACTACGGAGTCCGACATCGTTTTTGCATATTCACACACCGAGGCAATATTAATTTTAGTGACCTCCGATTGGCGTAACCGGGTGTCATTGCCGCCGACGTGAATAACAATCTTACTGAATCTACGTTTAGCTTTAGCCAGCAGTTTTAAATTTGATTCAATGTCGCCCGCTCTGGCCCCAGGGATACATTTGACTATGGCCGCTGGTGTTGCTAACTTCACGTTCCTCAGAATAGAGTTGCCAATAACCAGAGTTTTATCCTCAGCGGGTGTGTCGCTGAGTGGGGAAAAGCGGTTGGAAACATGAACAGGCTGGTGGTGAGCCGTGGGCTTCGGCTTGGAGCTATGCCTCTGGCGAGCGGTTACCCAACCTCCCGGCTGTACGGGTGTTACCGGAGGACTGCTAGCAGAGGCTATGCTATGTGGCTCCGCACTGGCTACAGGGGGCTGGCTAACTACCGCAGCTACTGAATGGTTTTCCATGGTGTGGAGCCGTGCTTCTAATTCACGAAGCCTTCAATGCCTGTAGCTTTTCCGACCTTTGCTTTAGATACTGCACTTTGAACCTCTTCCAGTTTAATTTCATCATTTAGATATTTGTACTGAGATCCTAATTTTGATATATCATTTTCAATTTGACCTTTTTTTGAACAAACATCTCTATAAAATATATCATCAAACTCATTCGCGAAAATTTGAAAGGAATTGGCGATTGACCAAACTGGAAGAATCTCGTTTAATCTGGACAGTCTCAAAACGTATAAGAGGGGCCTCCGCAATGCCAGAGCAAACTATTACTCAGCATTAATAGAAGAAAACAAGAACAACCCCATGTTTCTTTTCAGCACTGTAGCCAGGCTGACTGAGAGTCAAAGCTCTATTGAGCCTTGTATTCCTTTAGCCCTTAGCAGTAATGATTTTATGAGCTTTTTTAGTGACAAAATTCTAACTATTAGAGGCAAAATTCATGATCTCCTGTCCTCAGATAGTACCTATCTAACCTCAAACACAGCTGTAAGACCTAATATATATTTAGATTGCTTCTCCCCAATTTCTCTTCAAGAATTGACAGCAGTGATTTCTTCATCTAAATCATCAACGTGTCTCTTAGACCCCATCCCAACTAGGCTACTTAAGGAGGTCTTTCCTTTAGTTAACACTCATATATTAGATATGATCAATATATCCTTATTAACAGGCTATGTACCACAGTCTTTTAAGGTAGCTGTAATTAAACCTCTACTAAAAAAGCCCACCCTGGATCCAGAGGTGTTAGCCAACTATAGACCAATATCTAATCTTCCCTTTATGTCAAAGATCCTTGAGAAAGTAGTTGCAGACCAGCTGTGTGATTTTCTCCATGATAATAATTTATTTGAGGAATTTCAGTCAGGATTTAGAGTGCATCATAGCACTGAGACAGCACTAGTTAAAATTACAAATGACCTTCTGATAGCTTTAACGTGGCCTACACCATAAAATTATAGCTCTAACGTGGCCTACACCATAAACTTATAGCTCTAACGTGGCCTACACCATAAACTTATAGCTCTAATGTGAACTACACCACGAACTTGTAGCTTTAACGTTACCCAGTGTCCTTTGTACCTATATAGTCTTAAATGTCTTATCAATAAGACTGCTTCACAAATATGTTTGGGCTTTATAAATAAAATTGATTGAACTGATTGATGTTTAAGTGACTGTATGATTTACAAGTCAGTTTATTTAGAAATGAGTATTTGTTTTTGTTTCCTCACTTTTACAGAGAACCTGAGCTTTGCAGGTATCAGTAGTTTTTTGTACCTGTTCAGACTCAGCAGCTGACACAGTCAAGTTCAGTCGGTTGAATCAGTAGATTTAATGTTTCCTGACTTTTCAATTGACATTTCTCTGCTGTTTCTATGAACTTTAACTGCTGCTCTTTGAGAAACGTTCTAAACAAGATCAGATGGCAGCTGAGAGGCCACCTGATATACTCATACAAAGACTCAGTACAAGGAACAAGGACACGAGTATTAACGTTGCAACAGCTGGTTGTGATGCCAAACTGCCACTGGAGGTAGTGATGTCATACCTGTACGCTGTTGCTCAGGCTAACGATGCCTCTCAGGGATGGAAGCTCTGCATTGTCTAACAAAGATACCAAGAATTGTGACTGTTGTTTTGTTGATTTTGTTTTAACATGCTGAACTGTAATTTTCAGGGTTGTTGCTGTTGTTGTTTGAATGATTCGACTAAGCTAATATATGCTAACATCTGGCGTCAGTCGTTGCCATAGCTCAAGTTTATTGTCAGGTACATTTATAATACAGAGTGCTTCTTCCTGCAGCAGGTGGAGTAAACGTCCTGTATGTTAGGTGATGGTGATCACTGTCCTGATCAGGTGTTCATGATCCTGTACTGTGGCGTTGCCGAACCATCCAGTTGAGATGCTTTCTGTTGTGGACCGATAGAAGCTAATGAGAGTTTTTGTGGACAGGCCGAGTTTCTTCAGACACATCAGGAAGTCTCTGATGTTCTGAGGCCAGGAGACAGTCTGTGATCTGGATGTCTGAGAACTTGAAGCTATTTAGAGGTGTTGTTTACAGATAAATAGGTGACTGATCAGTTTTAGTTTTTCTGAAGTCGCCTTTGTTTTCTCAGCATTAAGAGATAGATAGTTGTTGTGACAACATATGAACTTGTCCCTAATCTCATTCTTATACGCACCTTTGCTGTTTTTTGTAGTGAGCCCCATTACTGTAGTGTCATCTGCAGATTTCACTATATGTTGGTCTGATGTTTGGCCACACTGTCGTATATGTCTTCTCCCTTGGAGAGCAGCTGACGTGCTGGTGATTTTTGATCTGATATTTGGAGCATGCATCTGTTGTGAACATGATTAGAACCAAACATAGAACACAGATTGAATGATGGTGAAAAAGGTTTACTGCCACAAAGGATTGGAGGTTGTTGACATGAGGCTGGTATGTGCGGGGCGGGTGAAGCTGGCAGGCAGGTGAGTGGTGTCATAGAGCTCAGATAAAAACAGGTCAACAACATGAAAGCACAAAGAAACAAAATACCAGGTGTAAATCAGTGAGCCGTGATGTGCAGCTTTCATGACAAGTCGGACTGTAATCTGGCAGTATGTGGGTATAGAAACACTGCATTTTGATGAAGTGATGAGATGCAGGAGTACTTGATGAACTGATAGTAGATGGGTGAGTTTGGTACAACAGATCCAGGAACAAGGAAATCAGAAAGAGAGACCAACAGCGATGACAACACAAAGAGACAAAGATAAACAGGGACACAGAGAAGGAGACACACGAGAAAACATTTGCCACGAACAGCAAACACTGAGTCTTCATTGCAACAGTCAGTGATTCTGTTTTCAGACAGTACACCCTTTGTGCTAAGCTGGCCTTCCTCTCCTCCCCTTGTTTCCTCTCCTCTCCTCCTCTGCTCTACTCTTTAATTCATGAAACATATAATTCATGAAACATATCAGAGGCTTAATTCATGAAACATATCAGAGGCTTCTACCTGACAAATATTCAAAAATAGTCTGAAATGTTGAGTTGTGCATTGTAGTTGACAAACCCATTTAATGTTACGACTTCATCCCCAAATTACAAAGACACAAACAATCCAGAAAATCAATTCATATCAGTTTTAACTGTGATTCAGATTCAGGGACTCCTTCTCATGTCTTAATTGATTTCATTCTGTTAGAGGAGATGTAGAATCCAAACACAATGTTCAAATAAAATTAGATTGAAAATGGCCCCTGGATCCATCAGAATGATTGTGTGTGTTTAAAGATGTGTGTTTGTACAGTACACAGGTTTATCAGAGTAAATATGTTCACATGTGATTCATGTTTTTATAGCCACATGTGGGTTGGTGGTTTATATCTGGCGCCGGTTGGTCCTGGATCGTCTCTTGGATGTCCGGTTTCTCACCAGAGCTTTCGGCTGAGGAATGATTGGCTGACGGGGGACAGCAGGGCTATCAATGACATGGGCGGGGCTTTGTGGTGGGATGGCGGGACTCTGAGGTTTGGCTGAGCGTGAGCTGAAATGTTTCTTTCCTCCTTCTTCAGAGTCAGAGCTCTCATCTTCTGTAAGACAAACAAACAAACTTCAATCATTAATACAGATGTTATGAAATAGATCAAATCAAGAATTTGTTAAATACTGAATATTTTATTTATAATATTTTATTCATAAAAGTTTTATTTCATCTTTAGTATTTTCATGATTACATAATTTTATTGGGCAGAATTTTTATGTCATTATAGTCAGCCAACCACATTCCTCCTGCCTCTGGAAAGCTCAACAATGTTAGACTGTTAGCTCCTGCTAGCTCCCATTAGCTCCCATTAGCTAGAGTAACAATGTCAAAGTAAATCTGAATCAACAAACTATCTGCTGACAAACTGTCTGACAAACAGCAAAAACAACCGTCTTTAGCTTTTAAGCAAAGTCTGCTTTAACAAGGCTGCTATTGCTAACCCTTAAAAAGGCTGCTAATGCTAACCCCTAACAAGGCTGCTAATGCTAACCATAAGTATTATTTACCTTCATTGCTCTACCAAAAAGCCCTTTCTGTCAAAAATTTTTTGTAACTCAAAACATAATCTTTTTCCTAAACTTTACTAAGACAGGAGGCAAACTTCTCAAACAAACAGTGCTGCTAACTGCTAACTCCCTGCTAACTAGCTACTAACTAGCCGCATGACTAGCTGCTGACTAGCTAGGCTGGCTCTTGAGCCTTAGTTTTTAGTCAGCAACATGTCAAACCCTCTGTTACACATGTACCTGTATACTTTTGATACAAACATAGGTCCTGATAATCCTGTGTGGTGTCTGTTTAACTATAAATTTATTTATTTATTTGATTTATTGAGTGTTCAAGTATTTTGAATAAGATGTTAAAAAAAAAAATGTTAAAAGCACATTCAGAAGGGGTGTCAGTGGATTAGTGGATAGAGCAGGCGCCCCATGTATAAGGCTGTTGCCGCACGGGCCCAGGTTCGACTCCAGACTGTGGCCATATCCTGCATGTCACTCCCTCTCTCTCTCCCCCCTTCACACTTATCTGTCCTGTTGATTAAAGGCTAAAATGCCCCAAAAATATCCTAAAAAAATAAAAATTCAGTAAGTAAATAAAATGTTTTTCTAAAAGCATCATAAGTCAATAAAATTTGTGTCAAGAAACAAACATTACAAAATAAATAAATAAATACAAAGAGCTCAGAGTCATACACAGCCCCGAAAGTGTATCTGATTTTAAAAGTCATAAATCATGTTTTTGTCTCACCATCTTCTTCCTCCACACTGATGGCGGTGGCTGCAGCAGGTTCTGAAATCAATCAATCAATCAATCAATCAATCAATCAAATCAATCAAATCAATCAAATCAATCAACCAATCAACCAACCAACCAACCAACCAACCAGCTAATCAACCAATCAACCAAATATTCAATCAATCAATCAATCAATCAATCAATCAATCAATTATTCAACCAACCAATCAATCAACCAATCAGTCTCAGTCTATCAGTCAATCAATCAGTCTATCAACCATCCAACCAATCAATCAATCAATCAATCATCGAACCAACAAACCAACCAACCAAAATGTTTATGGAAACACAGACATTCAGAGTTCAAACAAATAAACAGGACGTACCAGGTGCTGTCACCTGATTGGCTGCTGGAGCTTAAAAAACAACAAAATATTAAAATAAAACAGGACAATGATAAAAAAGATTAATAAATGGATGAACACATGAATACATGAAGAAATGGACTGACTGAATTAGAACATGATGCGCTGCTGATTAATGAAGTCACGGAGTGTCATTCACCAGTATCAAGTCTCATTCCATTCAATTCAATTCAATTTTATTTATAAAGCCCAATATCACAAATCACAATTTGCCTCACAGGGCTTTACAGCATACGACATCCCTCTGTCCTTATGACCCTCACAGCTGATCAGGAAAAACTCCCCAAAAAACCCTTTAACGGGGAAAAAAAACGGTAGAAACCTCAGGAAGAGCAACTGAGGAGGGACGGACAGACGTGCAATAGATGTCGTACAGAACAGATCAGCATAATTATCAGCAGAAATGGTCCCACCCATGTTTTTTTTTTGTTTTGTTTTGTTTTAATTTGTATGTGGGGGGTAAATGGGCTAAAAAATGGGAGGATGTGTAGGATTGTCCACATGGTCTGTAATGGCCCTGAGACAACTGCCCACCTGGGTGGGTTTATCCAGGTTGGCCCCAGATAAGGCGTCTATTTTGGGCCCATCCCCGCTTGGTAACCCAGGTGGTCCAAGTATTACCCCTGATGCCCATTTTATACGCACATACAGATGTTGGCTAGGGTTACTTTACTTTACTTTACTTTACTTTATTGAGTTTATTTGAGCAGGGACAATGCATACTAATCGGCAGTGATAGACAGTAAAACATGCAGGTTAGGGTGCCAGTTGATCCAATTTAGGGGCCGTGTGCACAAACAGAAACAGGATGAATAAAGGTTGAGGTCAGGAATACCCAAATGAAGGACTAGGGATCAACTAAAGGTGAGTGACCATCACCTGCCGAGCAATATTTGTGCTGGATGCAGATGGCGCCTGATGTGACAGACACTGAGTGCAAGCATGCTAGCTAATGTGTGCTAGCATCCTAATAAATATTGTGATGTTATTGGTACATTTTACATGTTCGTATGTTCCATTACTCTGAACTCTCATATGAGGCAGTTTGTACTTCCATGGTCAGTATCACATGGTCAACATGGCAACACGTCTCCTCCACACATACTTCTGTCTTATTGGTCACAACTTTATCTGTCAAAGTTGTCTGAAGTCGAACTGCATATGATGCGAAGATGTGACGAGCGTTTTATTAGACAGACAGGTAGATAGCAGATGCGATTGCTATGAGACAACAAGGGAGGCTGAACTTCCCCTAAAATTTCATAGAAGAAATGGTCAAATATGCACTATTGAATTTACATTAAAATAAGAATTGACATTGCATTAAACGTGCGCTAGGATGCGTTTAACATCATGACTATGATGTTTTTTTTCACGCAGCAAAGCGAGACGCTCATTGGATACATGCGACAAAATCGTCACTTCCAGGGAGGCTCAGCTTCCCTGGGACCTAATGGAGCAGTAGGCGGGAGAGGACGCTCGGTGTCTGCATGATGATTGGAGGAATTGTCTAAGAGGCTGAACTCCTTTGTGATTGACAGGGCTTTGGAAATACTTAAAGTGAGCTTTCCCTGTTTGAAAGATCAGCAGCCGCCACTGGTAGATCGATACCGTTAAGTGTATATGTGTACTCTTTATGTGTTGTGCTCTCACCGTCTGCGATTTCTGAACTGGAGCTTGTTGTATCTAAAACACATCAACACAAGTCAGTTGGGTGAACGACAGGTAAACAGGTATCATCATCATCATCATCATCATCACCATCATCATCCTACCTGAAGGTCCTGCTCCATAATACTGCGGTTCATCTGGAACCAAACATTTCAAACAGAGAATATTTATGAATTGATCTATAATCAATAGTCAATAGTCAGTAGTCAATCAATCAATCAATCTGTCTGAAGTCTGAAGACAATCAATATGTTAATCATACGTTTTTCTGTTGGTGTGTCTGAATAAGAACCATCAGACAGCAGGCTCATCAGAGGGTTCACTGTCTCACTGTGGTGGTTTATGGGGACATTTTAATAAGGATCACTTCTGATGTTAAACCACCAGGTGTCAGAGTAACACAGGAAGTGAGAGTACCTGAGCAGGTATAGAGTACCTGAGCAGGTAGAGGACAGAGTACCTGAGCAGATAGAGTACCTGAGCAGGTAGAGAACAGAATACCTGAGCAGGTATAGAGTACCTGAGCAGGTAGAGGACAGAATACCTGAGCAGGTAGAGGACAGAGTACCTGAGCAGGTAGATGACAGAATACCTGAGCAGGTAGAGTACAGAGTACCTGAGCAGGTAGAGTACAGAGTACCTGAGCAGGTAGAGGGCAGAGTACCTGAGCAGATAGAGTACCTGAGCAGGTAGAGGACAGAGTACCTGAGCAGATAGAGTACCTGAGCAGGTAGAGGACAGAATACCTGAGCAGGTAGAGGACAGAGTACCTGAGCAGATAGAGTACCTGAGCAGGTAGAGGACAGAGTACCTGAGTAGGTAGAGGACAGAATACCTGAGCAGGTAGAGGACAGAGTACCTGAGCAGGTAGTGAGTGTCAGATCTTACCTGGCTGATCAGGTGAGACGGCGTTCATACTCTCTGAATAAACAAAATCAACAGTAACAACAAAAACGTAAGTTTGTTCATTGAACTTTCACAGAGCTGGAAACACATCAGCAGTTTTCTTGTCTCATTAAACTGTCCTTACACAAAACAAGTGATCACAAAACATTTATTTCGTAAACTGTACGTTAAATTTTAATTAACGTTCTTTAGAGATGTTTGTGAATCACTGACTGTTTTTATTCACATAGACATTTTGTGTCTCACCTGTGGGAGCTTCATCAGACGTGGAGTCTTTATCTGAGGGACAGAGATGACAGAGACAGATGAGGGACACAGAGAGAAAGAGAGGACAGAGACAGCTGAGGGACAGACAGGTGACTTACCTGTGGACATGGCTTGGATTCCAGCATCTGAAACACAGAACCAAAACACGTGTCACATGACCTGTCACATGTCTGTCAAACTGTGATGTCATCAGATTTTAACACGTCTCACCGTTGGTGTCAAAATCCCCCTCCACCAGTAGGACGGACAGAGACAACAGAAGGACAACTTTCCTGCAATACAAACACAACCTTCAGTCACAGAAGCTTTATGTCCTCACAGAGCCATCATACAGAGGCCACACCCACTGCTTCCTGCTGTGCTCTGATTGGCTCGTTACTTAACTACATCAGAAAAGGGGTACAACCAAGGAATTGCTTTTGTTTTGTTTTTTGTTTTTTGTTTTTTTGCTCTGACATGTTCTCCCCTTGTCAGCGTGGGTTTCCTCCAGGTGCTCTGACATGTTCTCCCTGTGTCAGCGTGGGTTTCCTCCAGGTGCTCTGACATGTTCTCCCCATGTCAGTGTGGGTTTCCTCCAGGTGCTCCGACATGTTCTCCCCATGTCAGTGTGGGTTTCCTCCAGGTGCTCTGACATGTTCTCCCTGTGTCAGTGTGGGTTTCCTCCAGGTGCTCCGACATGTTCTCCCCGTGTCAGTGTGGGTTTCCTCCAGGTGCTCTGACATGTTCTCCCTGTGTCAGTGTGGGTTTCCTCCAGGTGCTCCGACATGTTCTCCCCATGTCAGTGCGGGTTTCCTCCAGGTGCTCCGACATGTTCTCCCCGTGTTAGTGTGGGTCATGCCAGATCATCAACAGCCTCCACCTCAAAGGCGGTTGGCAGAGAGATTCCACCCAGTTATTTGGGACAGATGCTTCTCTTTCCACATAAAGTTTCTGCAGATTGTTTCAAACTCTTTAAAGAATTTACAAAGAGTGTTGAAAGCAGGAAACTCATATAAGACAGGAACAGGTAGTGGTCGGCCATCGGAACATCTCAGATGTTCAGCAACTAGGGTTAGGCTAGAATGTGATCCTACTATTTGTCGTCCTCTGAACTTGCTTTTGTTTTAAAAGAGGTAGAAATGGCACAGATTTTGTGGTTAGTTCTTTTTATTAGGAACCGGCACAAACAAATCGGCTCACTCAGTGAGTGTCTAAGAAAGTATCCCTGTGCTTTAATGGACATGGAGCAAAAAACAAAACTTCATCTCAAAGTGAGAATCACTGAGCATAAGGCTGCTGTTAGAAATGAGAACCTGGATTACACCACTGTTGGACGTCAAAGGAGAAAAACCATGTGTCGGTCACTTCCCTGAAATTTGTTGCCATTGAAAAGTACAACCTAATCCAAAAGTGGGCAATTTGATCAACCACCATTCAACAAGGGAAGAATTTTGGAGGACAATAAAAACAAATCATTGGGATGATGAAAATAAATCAGGTGAGCAGGGTTTTGAAGACATGTTTCCCTTAAAAATCATCAAAACATTTTATCAGCCAGAAAGTGAAAGAAAAAATAGAATTTATTGCTGTTGTTGTTGTTGTTATATTAAATTTCTGACAGTCCTTGACCACATCATTTGTTACAAATTCTTCTCTGCAAATAAAAACAACATTAACCTAAAATAGTGACATTTCATTTAAAATCACTTTATTCTAAATAAATACATTTTAACTTTCAAACATCAAAGTTTTAAAAATCTTATTTATGTTGGAGGGTAGATTTTCCTCTGGTCATTCAGGGAGGGTCAGAATAAAAACAGCCACCCTGCTCCTCCTCTGATAAATACAGAACAGTCCCTAAATGTCTCAGACTGTCTTTGTTTGGTCCTCAGTGTCTTTGGAGCGTTGTATTATGGGATGTTGACTTGGTAGACAGACAGATGGACGTACCTGGTGAGCATGATGCTGTGAGGTCAGACGTCCCTGGATCAGAGCGACAGGTGGGCAGCAAACAGGTGAGTTACAGTACTTAAGTTTGGCACTGCAGGAGTCTGTGTGGCTCCCAGCGTCTGGCAGGGCGGCTTATATACCCACCTAAATGTCACCACATTGTGTGTGTGTGTGTGTGTGTGTGTGTGTGTGTGGTTCAGGTTTCTGAGGAGGTGAAGAAGACTCTGACAAAGGTTGGTCTTCATGTCTTAATGAGGACTTCTAACCCTGAACCTATGTTCACTCAGAGGTGGTTCACATGTTGTTAATGTGTGGTTCACATGTTGGAAATGTGTCATTAAAGAGTTGTTAATGTAAAATTAATGTTTTGTTAATGTGTGGTAGTCAACATGTTGTTACTGTTTTTATCAGCATGTGGTTAATGTGCTGTTGATGTTTTTGTCAACATCTTACTAACATGTGTTTGTGTTGTTAATGTTTTGTTGATGTGTTTTTCACGTTAACGTGTTGTTAACATGTTTTTAACATGTTAATGTGTTGTTGACGTGATATGAATGTGCTGTTGACCTGCTGTTTATGTGTTATTGACATGTTATTGACGTGTTATTGACGTGTTTGAATGTTTGTGTGTTTTTGACCTGCTGTTAATGTGTTATTAACGTGTTGTAAATGTGTTATTGACAAGTGATTGAGGTGTTGTTGATGTGTTATGAACATGTTGACCTGCTTGTTAAGGTGTTGTTGACATGTTATTGATGCATTGTTATTGTGTTGTTAATGTGTAATTAATGTGTTCTAAACATGTTGTTGACCTGCTGTTGATGTATTGTTGATGTGTTAACATATTGTTGATATGTTGTGGATATGTTTTTAATTTGCTGTTGACATGTTATTAACATGTTTTTGAGAAGTTTTTAACGTGTTGTTGATGTTATACAAATGCGTAGTTGACATATTGTTGATGTGCTGTTAACATGTTGTCTCCTGTCAGAACCAACAGTGATGACAGATTTTCTGATTAATTCTTGAAGTTTATTTTGTTTGAATATTGTTGACATCATGTCTGATCATGGAACTGCCCCCTCAACACACACACACACACACACACACACACACACACAGGAAATAATAGAGAAAAATCTATGGCCTATAAATGAAAAACATTGAAGAAAATAAGACTAATGATAATAAAAAATAATGATGGAGTCACCAAATGTTGTTCAGCCTGTGGCGGTCCTCACAGTGACACAAACACTCTCAGTCTCTTTGTGTGTCACCTGGTGACGTCCTCGTAGGTTGGGGAATCCCCGTCCAACAAACACTCTCAGTCAGAGGAACATTAACGACAGGTCGAGTTTCAGACCGAGATCCGTCTGATAGAAGCTGAAGAACAATCAGAGCAGAACGCCAGTGCTACACCTGGAACAAACACTATGACTATGATAATGACTGGGGGCCCCCCTCAGACATTTATTTATTTATACACATCACTTCACATTCTTGTGACTAAAAAGCCAAGTTAAATCTTATTGATTTTTCAAAGACGTCTTTTAAACTGTCTGTTCTGTTTTTTTCTCTCTCTTTTTTTGTGTTGCATTTGTTTGTTTGTTTATTTAAAGAATTAAACACGCAAAAACCCTCTCTGAACTCTGGGTTCAGATTAAAGTTAACAAACAGCAGCAGGAAGACGTTCATTCGTCCTTCAGCTGTGTATATCCTAATGAAGTCAGCTAGAGTGTCTTGTGCCCCAGGAGGTCCCCTCACACACTCAGTGATAATGGTGGACTGGTATTTGACTATCAAAGACTCCTCTGTCTCCGGACGTCCCTCTGTGTAAACGGAGACGCCGCTGAACTGAAGACACTTTTTAAAGCTGCGCTGCTTCATTCAGCTGCCGCCCCCACCGCCGCGCCTTTGAAACATGGTAAGGTCAGATTTACATGTTTATAGAGCTCTGTCCATTAATCAGTCCGTCCGTCCTTTCATCTGTCCATCTGTCTGTCTGTGGACGTCCCACAGGGGGGACGGACAGACCTGAAACAGTAGAGACATTACAGGTATCTCTGTCTCTGTTAATATCTCATTGTGTCATATGGATCACTGTACATTTATTATGTTCATCTGTTCTCTAACACATCTACTGTCCATCTGTCCGTCCTGAGGACAGATCCATTCTCAGTGTCTCTTCCTGAGGTTAAAGAGTTTTTCCTGATCAGCTGTGAGAGTCCAGAGGATAGAGGGACAGAGGACAGAGGGTCCAAAGGATAGAGGACAGAGGGATGTTGTATGCTGTAAAGCCTCTGAGGCAGGCAGTGATTTGTGATATTGGGCTTTTTAAATAAAATTGAATTAAATTGAATATTAGAAACTGGTGGAGAATTGGACTTAGCATCACCGTTAGCATCAACATTTCTAAAGTCAGAACAGATGTTTACTTCTGTATCATCATTAGCTCAGTACCTTCTGTCAGTTGGACATTGAGACAGGCAGACCGTGATAGAACTCATTCATTTGTTCATGTTCCATAACCGCTAATTCTGTTGGGGGTTGAGGAGGGTGGAGCCTATCAGGTGACATTGGGTGGTAGGCGGGGTTCACCCTGGAAAGGTCACCAGACTATCACAGGACTGACACATAGAGACAGACAACCATTCACATTCACACCTACGGACAATTTAGAGTCACCAATTAACCTGCATGTCTTTGGACTGTGGGAGGAAGCTGGAGCATGTCAGAGCACCAGGAAACCAATGCTGACATGTGGAGAACCTGTCAGAGCACCTGGAGGAAACCCACGTTGACACGGGGAGAACATGTCAGAGCACGTGGAGGAAACCCATGCTGACACAGGGAGAACATGTCGGAGCACCTGGAGGAAACCCACACTGACACAGGGAGAACATGTTGGAGCACATGGAGGAAACCCACGCTGACACAGGGAGAACATGTCGGAGCACCTGGAGGAAACCCACGCTGACACAGGGAGAACATGTCGGCAACAATGCCAACCACCACATCACCGTGCCGCCCATGCTAAGTGCTAAATGGTTAAAGACAACCTGCTTTCATTAAAATAAAATGATAAAAAAAACTTTGCAGAAAAGTTAATGGCAATAAACAGTTTCTCAGTATCTTGATTTAAATATAAGAAACTCATGAAATTCACAATGAGCAGATTTAAATCGTGTCTCTCAAACAGAACTCAGTTTGTTTATGTAAAATCCTCCGAGAACATCAAAGGCAGTGATGGGGTTCCACAAGGTTCTGTCCTCGGACAACTTCTGTTCTCTTTCTGTGTGTTTCCAAGAGAGTTCTTATCAGCTGTGATGGCCCAAGGACAGAGGGTCTAAGGACAGAGGGTCCAAAGACAGAGAGTCTGAGGACAGAGAGTCTAAGGACAGAGGGTCCAAGGACCAAAGGTCCAGGGACAAAGAATCTGAGGACAGAGGGTCCAAAGACCGTGGGTCTAAGGAAAGAGGGTCCAAAGGCAGGGTCTAAGGACAGAGGGTCCAAAGACCGTGGGTCTAAGGAAAGAGGGTCCAAAGGCAGGGTCTAAGGACAGAGGGTCCAAAGACAGAGAATCTGAGGACAGAGGGTCCAAAGACAGTGGGTCTGAGGACAGAGGGACCAGAGGACAGAGGGTCCAAAGACAGAGGGTCTAAGGAAAGAGTGTCCAAAAGACAGAGGGTCCATGGACCGAAGGTCCAGGGACAGAGGGTCTAAAGACAGGGTCTAAGGACAGAGGAACATTCAGGTTTGTCTCATTAAGGTGAGGAATGTTATTAGTCTCCTGGATCGTGGTGGTAACTGATCGGCCAGCGTCCCTTTGCCAGCAGAGTAATAAGTGTCATCGGTCAGATGTCCATCAGCAGCATGAATTACAGACATACCAGACAGGATCAGGATCAGGGTCTGAACCTGATCCTGGATCGGCTGATATGACACTGAGGCACCATGAGTCTGTCTGGATCATCTCATCAGACACTGACTGTCAGACACTCTTACATGACATACATACATATGTATAAACAGATATATATATACAGTAACTACATGTATATTTGTGTCTATATACAGTACATACACATGCATATGTGTTTGCATATATACAGTAAATACATGTATATGTCTGCATATATACATGTATTTACTGTATATATGAGTCTGCATTTATACAGTAGAGACATGCAGGTATATGTCTGCATATATACAATAAATACACATTTACATGTGTCTGTATATATACAGCAAAGTCAAGTATATATGTATCTGCATACATACAATAAATACACATGTATGTGTATATATATATATATACACATACGTATACAGTAAATATGTGTGTCTGCATATATATATACAGTAAACTCATGTATATGTGTGTGTATATATATATATATATATATATATATATAGTAAACACATGTACATATGTGTAGGTATAGATACAGCAAACACATGTATATGTCTGTATATATGCAGTAAATACATGTATATATGTGTCTGTATATATACAGTAAATACATGTATATGTGTCTGTATATATGCAGTAAATACATGTATATGTGTCTGTATATATATAGTAAACACATGTACATATGTGTAGGTATAGATACAGCAAACACATGTATATATGTCTGTATATATTCAGTAAATACATGTATATGTGTCTGTATATATGCATTAAATACATGTGTATATATACACTAAATACATGTATATGTGTCTGTATATATGCATTAAATACATGTGTATATGTGTGTATATAGACAGTAAATACATGTATATATGTCTATATATACGCAGTAAATACATGTATATGTGTCTGTATATATGCAGTAAATATATGTATATGTGTCTGTATATATATAGTAAACACATGTACATATGTGTAGGTATAGATACAGCAAACACATGTATATATGTCTGTATATATTCAGTAAATACATGTATATGTGTCTGTATATATGCATTAAATACATGTGTATATATACACTAAATACATGTATATGTGTCTGTATATATGCATTAAATACATGTGTATATGTGTGTATATAGACAGTAAATACATGTATATATGTCTATATATACGCAGTAAATACATGTATATGTGTCTGTATATATGCAGTAAATATATGTATATGTGTCTGTATATATATAGTAAACACATGTACATATGTGTAGGTATAGATACAGCAAACACATGTATATATGTCTGTATATATTCAGTAAATACATGTATATGTGTCTGTATATATGCATTAAATACATGTGTATATATGCATTAAATACATGTGTATATATGCCTGTATATATTCAGCAAATACATGTATATGTGTCTGTATATATGCATTAAATACATGTGTATATGTGTCTGTATATACAGTAAATACATGTATATATATCTATATATGCAGTAAATACATGTATGTCTGTATATATGCATTAAATACATGTATGTCTGTATATATGCATTAAATACATGTATATATATGTGTCTATATATGCATTAAATACATGTATATATGTGTCTGTATATATGCATTAAATACATGTGTATATGTGTCTGTATATATAGTAAATACATGTATATGTGTGTCTGTTTATAATTAGACACATGTATATGTCTATACGTATGAAGAATTCATACTTTATAAATTAATTTGTTGTCTCATTTTACAAAAAGTAAAATAATATATAAAAACAGTTAAAGAGAAACACATCAGAGCTGTGTGTGTTATTAACAGATCAGCTTTAATTAAACAGCTTAAAATATGAAACAATCATAAAATCCTGATTTCATAGCCGAATTTAACAGAACACTTTAGTTACTCATTTTTAATATAACATTTTTGATGATGTTAGTGCAGTTTTCATATCGACAAGAAAATATTAAATTTGAGGTTTTCTTAACGGAGTTTGGTCAGACAGCGGATCTGATGGTGTAAACGATGTGCTGTCTGTCAGCTCATCGCCGAACTGATCGATAATAGTAATGAATAATGTACGGTCAACAGTTCTTACAGATTAGTGACGCCATAACGGAGTGGAAGACTGTTTATAACCGATATTCTGATCGGATCTGTGAACATGTGCCAAACCTCCTTTCAGAAAGACTATTTTTAATCTACCGGCGTGCTGTGCGTCGCAGATATATGACGCTGTAATATAACGCATGCGCAGCCTTAAGCTACTCAGAGCGCACGCGTCCTGACTGCAGAGCCCCGTGAGTTTGTTTGTTTTCTAACTTTAAAGCTGTGTTTACGTTAACGGAGAGTTTAAGATGTTCTTGATGTTAACGGAGAGTTTAGATGCTTTGTGTTATTACCGGAAGTCAGGTTTAAGTGTTTCCGGCCGGTTTATCTCAGACTGAACACAGCCATTAGCCTGCTAACTGCTAGTAGCTAACAGCTTTTACATCTGCCGCCAATCTCCGTAAACAAATGTTTAAATTAGAGTTTTATCCGTTTATATGAAAACTCACAAACTTTATAAAACTCATTATGACGTGTAACATGATTCTTTAAATTGTTATGAAGAATTCGGCTGAGTTTGCTAACAGCTAACGTTAGCAGCTCTGACGTCACAACAGAGTGGGGGTATCTGTGTTCGTGAGGTGTGTTGATTATTTTTACCTGCTGAGATCACCATGGTAACTGAAGCTGCAGAGCTCACCTGGTCAGGATCAGTTTATGTTCAGTTTCAGACTGACACTGTGGTTAGGGACTGTTCTGTATAAACAGAGGAGGGGGGCTGTTGTCTTTTAATCCTCCCTGAAACAAAATAGAACAGGCTGCAGTGAGAGTTTCTCTCAATGGGATATTTAAAGATTGCAGCTTTTAGTTTAGTGGGGTTTAGTGTTGCTGTAGCCCACAAGAAGTGAGGATTAAAATATATGACCTACACATAATCCACTTTGAATTAATATATATTTTTGAGTCATTACTAAAAGTGTCTGTCATCCAAGAGAGACAATAAAAACTAATGGAACAGTGTTGTCATATTGAAATTTGTCCAAAACCATGTTGATAAAATGTCAGAAACAAGAAATAAAAATGTGAAAAAAATCTTAATAAAATGTCTAAAAATGCAGACAAATGTCTGAAAAAAAGATTAAAATGGTGGACAAAATTCCTAATAAAGTGTCTGAAAAATGTTAGTGAAATTTCCCAAAAGATGTGATAAAATGTCCAAAGAATCTAATTAGAATGTGGGGAAAAATGTAAATAAAATGTCTGAAGAAGAAGTTAATAAAATAAAAAAACAGAAGGGTCGCCACCTTTCCTTTGTCTCACCTCTGTGTACTCGTGTCTCAGTCAGTGTCTGCGCTCTTCATCACGAGGTTTCCTAGGGTCCTCGAACGCAGCACAGGCCAAACTCTTCTTCTTCCCCTCAGCAGCAGTTTATAGTAGGTTTATCACAATACCAGAATTTCAGTAGTCGATACCAATACCAGTGAATTTCCACGATTGGGATGCCCCCCCATCCCCCTTTGACGGCACCACTGGCAGCACGCATGTGAGTGATTGACGGTGACAAAATGTGTGTTGGCTTCGTCGAGTCTACAAAGTGCAGCACGATGCTGGTATATGACAGCAAAAAGACGGGGACCTCGACACTTAAGAGCCACATGACGAAGGCTTACCATGGAAAGAAAGACGAGAGTCACCCTTCAATGTCCACGTTCGTATCCTTAAAAAAAGCATTGAATTGACACGGCCCGCTGAGGGCAAAGTTGTATACGGGCAATTCCATGCAGACCTCACCATGAAAAAACAAAGTAGCCATATTTATAACAAAACCCATTAAAATGTATCATCAAGGTCTATATTTTGAAGTACAAAATACATTTGATCACAATATTCATGCAAATACATGTTTTTCCTCACTACAATGAGGAGACACAATAATGTGAAAATGTATTTTTCAGTGAACAAATTGTATGACTTTCTGAATGGCCAGAATGGCAAAAAAAATCACCTACAGATGTCTTCTGACTTCACTTTTTACCAGGAAGGGCTGTTGTATCAATATGTAAATCAGTTATGTACTTTGTGTCTTTCCATTGGCCGGTGGAACGTGCTGTTATGATGCCCGTTTATGGGACAACTCATGTAACGTCCATAACGTTTTTTAGGAAAAGTTGTCATAAAACATGCATTTGGAAAGCAATGTCAGCCAAACTTTCTAAGCAAAGCTAACTTTTAGAAAGATGACATATTAGCAACAATTGTCATCCTTGTCTTATTTTTTGTATTATTTCCGAGCGCTACGGACGTTACCGTGACGGACGTCACATATTGTAGAGTCGATCATATGAACCCCAGTCCATGTGTGAATGTTGATTACACTGTATCACATTAATGGTTACACCCCACTGTTAAACCTACTGCTCTTGTGGCTCGCTGTGTAGTGTTTACTATCATCCTGAATGAGCTATTTGCAGGGATGGGCTGCCGACATGTGAAAAATGTTATTGTATCACATGAATACGCTGGTAGCCTCTCACGATAATACTGCTCTTCTTGTTCGCTGTTTACTAGGGTTGAGCCCGCGAGTATCCGGTGCGGATAAAGCACTTTTGACGAGTATGAGTATTATGTAATACGAGTCATTATCTGTGCTCGTGATGAATGAAAATCCTATAGCTGACCGTGTCCACATTCTGTGATAAGCCAGTCATGCCGGATTTCCACTGGATGCGTGTCCGTTGCGGAACGGCAGCGCTGGTTATCCGCTGCGTGCTCCGCCGTCCGTCAATACCCACCGGCTGCGTTTGCTGTGCGGTGCAGCTCCACCGGAAGACATCTCGGTGCACTGCCATGATTAATATCTCCTCGTCCATGGTGTTCACGGTTGTGAAATGACGTCTGAAAACCTCTGACCTGTTGACTTCAGGCCTGCCTCTGCCCATTATGTAGTTTTTAAGGTGTAGTGCAGGGAAATATGATCCGCCGTGAACACTTTGTATTTTATTTTGAAAATTAACCGTATGTTTTATTTTGTTTCTGTGCACGACTTCCTGCCCCGCACGATCTGCTCTGTGCTGAATTGCTGCGTTGTGCTCCGGTGTCCGGCAAAAATAGAAGTCCTGCGTATCTGTTGTGGAGGGCTCCGGAGTGCCGGAGCTGAGACGGAGCTGCAGCCGGTGGAAACACACACATTGACTAGAATGGAATCCTATCGGCTCCGCTGCCGTGCCGGAGCGGAGACGCAACCAACACACATCTGGTGGAAATTGGCCGTCACACACAGCGCACCTCCCCTACACACACACGGTCACTGCAGCTGTGCCCCGCTCCGCTGACACACACACACACACACACACACACACACACACACACAGTGACAACCTCTCTGTCAATCACTCACGTTTGACAAATCACGTCTCATCTCTCTTCAATACCGGTTAGGTTTTCTTCAATTGCTTATAGTCAGTAGAGATTCTGGTAAACTTGATTCGTAACAGATGCGGTGCTTTTGTTAGAGCTGAATGCAACTCGCGTCCGTTTTTTTGTTTTTTTTTTTGATTCATCTTCATTAAAGTAAATGAAGATCTGAAAAAAACAGCTCAGAACTATTTGATCAGTAGAACATTTCTCTCTCTCTCTCTCTCTCTCTCTCTCTATACACACACACCATAATCAGCATTATGTTTAACTTTGCATATAAAAGACAAAGAACATTAGGTAGTAAAAAAAAATCGCACTGTCTCATCATAAAAATCATTTAAAAAAAATCCTGCATTTTCCTTAATTGCCAACTGCATGTGCTGTATTCATTGATGCACTTAAGAATATTCATGTTCTGTGTTTCTAAGAAAAGACCAATGGGTGTACTGCCTGTCATCTCGACTCGCGCATTATTAAAATTCACTTGACAGCTGTCACTCTGAGGTGATTTATGACCAGTTAGTTTCATCCAAAAAGGTAACGCCTACTATGTAGTCTACCGGTATGTAATCAATCAGTAGTAGAGTAAATTATTTCTCAGACTACAACATAGATCCAGACTGGTGTGACCCTTTAAATGGGCCACTGAAGTCAAACACCTGTGGGTAAAGCCCTATTTTTGATTGTTTTTTTTTTTTTTTGTCTATTTCAGATGTGTTACATCTATAACGCAAAAATGTAACATCCATAATGCTGGGTATTTTGTCACTTCTCTCAAAATCCAAAGGGTCAAAACATTTCATATTGCAGGCTTATCTTTATCCCAATAAATGTAACTAAAATACGTATATTCAATTTTCTAATTCAAATCAATGCCTTGTCAATGTTAAGCTTAGTTTCCAATTTTTTCTCTGAATGTAACATCCATAACGCTGGAATTGCCCATACGGTACTTACGCTACAGAAAAAAAAAGGTACTGACGTATTTATTGCGTGTTGGTATCGACTTGATACCGAAGTATCGGTTCTCATGACAACCCTAGTTTGTAGATAATCAGTCAGGCGGGGGCCTTGGTGGTCTGATCCTCGGCTACAGAAGTTGGCTCTTGGGACATGGAATGTCACCTCTCTGGCAGGGAAGGAGCCGGAGCTTGTGTAAGAAGTTGAGCGCTACCGCCTAGATATAGTCGGCCTCACCTCGACACATAGTTCCAGCTCTGGAACCCAAGTCCTTGAGAGGGGTTGGACTCTCTCCTTCGCTGGAGTTGCTCCGGGTGAGAGGCGGAGGGCCGGGGTGGGCTTTCTGATAGCCCCCAGACTCTCTGCCTGTACGTTGGGGTTTACCCCGGTAGACGAAAGGGTTGCTTCCCTGCGCCTTCGGGTCGGGGAACGGGTCCTGACTGTTGTCTG